GACTCCATGTGGCACAGCTGTTAGAGTCACATACAGGCTCCAGACACAGATGGTGTTTTTACACTCAGCTGCACTTCTCCAGGTCTGCTTGAAGCCATCAGATGTCACAATGGTAGAATAGGCTTCTCATGGAGAGTGAGGACCCGGGAGTGGCTGGCTGTCTTTGAGGTCTGATTGTATGCATGGGAGCTGAGGCCGAATTGCTACGATGCCATCCCTAGCTTCACCCCAGGGTGTCTGTGCAGCTGGGAGGAGATAGCATGGAAGGTGGCTTTAAGGAGTGGCACTCTGGATTCCCCGAGCACTTGCCGGTGACTCAAATGGCAGGGGATGTGGCTCAGGCCCTTCAAAAGCATAGTGTGTGAGCAAGAGATAGGACCCCAGGCCCTGCTGCTGGCACAGGTAGCCACTGAGTGCTCATCTAAAGCACACCAGCAACTCCTGAGCCATCCCAAGGCAGATGCAATCCAGTCCCCACTCCATCACCCACTGCCATGCTGCCCAACAGCTTGAACCTGACTGTGTCCAAGAGCTTCCTTCCATGGGCTGATCCCAGAAGAACCCAGAACTGGGAAGGGGGAGAGCTCAGAGGTCCCCTTTCCCTCTAGAAAGCCTTGTTCCTGGTTCTGGCTGTACCCAAGGGACACAAAAGAAGTGGCTTGTGATTCAGAGGTGGTCAGGAGAGAGAAAGAGGCTGGAATGAGGGGGACCTTTCCCAACCTCCTCCGAGTTGCCTCACTGTGATGGGTAGCTGGTGCTTGTGTAACCCAGTGCGCTTTTTCACACATGGTCTTCCTGCTCACTGGAGATCCCAGGAGTCAGTGATTCACTCTCGTATCACTGGTGGGAATGAAGGCTTGTGTCTGCGGAGCGCCGGAAGGCAAGCCTCTTCTTCCGATTTGAAGCCTTGCTCACGCCCCATGGTGTCTGCTTCCTTACAAACCATCTGGATTTGGAATCACCTAGGAGACACCCCTCCTAGTGCTTCTTTGAGGGTGTTTCTGGGGAGTAGTTTGAGGAGCTAAGACCCACTCTGAATACGGTAGACATTATTTCATGGCTAGGGACCCAGACTGAATAAAGGGGGTAAAGGAGAAAGCTAGTTGGTCACTAGCATTCCTCCCTCTCCCTTTTCCTCCTTTCACTCCTTTCCCTCCCTCCCTCTACCCCCCTTTCCCTCCCTTCCTCCCTCTTCCCTCCTTCCCCTCCCTCCTCTCTCCTTCCCCTCCCTCTTCCCTGACTGCAGACCAATATCCCCAGCTGCCACAAGCTCTGGCTCCCGTGCCTTCTCCATCATAATGGACGGTGTGTGCCCTCAAACAAACCCTTACGAGCCCAAAACAAACCCTTCCTTCCTTAAGTAGCTTTACCTGGGACTCTGTCACAGCAAAATTAACTAAGACACACCTCATTCCCCTCTACAGGAGAAGGCTATTAGACCCAAAGCTTTCTGAGGTTGCGGCTCAATGGCGTCGGGGCAATTCTTGGGAGACGATGAATAACTTATGTGGCCTCTCTGGGTGTTAGCCTCATTTATAAAGGAAGTGGTGAAGAGTGCCCAGCTCAGGCGGCTGCCAGGCAGGAGAGATAAGGCAACTTGGAGCACAGTGTGCATATAGCAGGTGCTCAGTTAATCCTTGAGTGACATCCTGGGACTGAGTCCTGCTCCAATAGGCTGCTCTTGCATGGTGGCCCTTACAGGGAGGTCTGCTTTGATTTTGTCAGGATCCTGTCTCTGATTCTAGGAGGCTTCAGTATTTCTCTCCAGAACCTTGCTTGTCACAGTCTGTGGCATCAGCTGCTTGTTAGGAAGCCACAACTGGGGAGCCTGACAGCTGGTGTCACTGTGCCAGCCTCTGGGGAGGAAGGGCTATGTTCACAGTCAAGGCTGGGCTGAGTAAATAGCCATGCTCCAGCCCAGCACCTACCATACACACACCGAGCTTGGCTCAGTTCTGCCCAGCCCAGCACAGGGCAAAGGGGCCTGTGGGCTTGGGAAGTAGGTGTCCTCCCCCTCTCCCTCCTCCTTAAGGTCCCTCCAACTCCTCCCACACCCTAATCAGGAGCAGACTGGCTCACTAAACCACAATTTTGGCTCTGCCGGGCTTCTGTTGTGGGGAAGGTCACAACCAATCCATTTCTCCCTCTTCCTGCTCCTATCTGCCTGACTTAAGGACCCTTGGGTGATCAACACCCGAGCCAGTGGCCCCATCACCACCAACTCTGACACTTTCTGTCTTCCATGCCAGACCCTGTGCTAGGTAGGGCATGTGTGTTCTTGACCTCAGTCACCCCCAACTCCCAGACCTCTGCTGTGCTCTCACCAGCCACAGAGTGCAAAGGCTAAGACTCAGAGGGTGATGTGACTTCCCAGGGCTGTGTGGCCAGCCAGTAGCTGAACTGGGTACCACCTAGTCCATGGTCTTTGCCTAACCGTCTGGTGGTTTTGAGAGATAGTATTGGTGGCCGTGACAGGATAACAGAGGTAGTATCCTTTTGTTCCAGGGGAACATTGGCTGCCTGGGGTGAGGTCTGTCTGTGGGGTAAGGACTCCATTGTGGTTCCATAGAGGAGTGGTGGTGACTAGCACCAGGTGTGAGCTATGCTGACCACCAGGTGTCACCCAAGCCCTAGAAAACAGTCATAAATCTGACCTCAGAGGGAGAGGATGCGCCTAGCCTCAGAGACTTGATGTCCCAGGAGGGGGGGAGGGTATGGGGGGAGGGGGCACCTTCTCAGAGGAGAAGGGGAGGAGGGAATGATTGTGGGAGGGGCTGACCAGGAGTGGGGCAGTGAGCAGGATATAAAGTGAATAAGTGAAAAAAAATAGTGATACATTTAAAAACAAACAAACAAACCAAAAAAAGCCCTAAGGGTCCCAAAGCCTGTGACTAGGGGACAGAGGAGAGACAGGAGCTAGCTGGAGAAGGACGGATCAGAGGGAGCAAGGATAGCATCGTCCTCAAGCCTCACCAGACAACCTTGCGGCTCAGAAAGACTGAGCCAGAGTAACAAAGGAGAGACAGACTGAGGGAGCGAGGAGCCCCCTAAGGTCATGGTTTCCCTGCTCTTCCTTTCACCCCAGCCCTACCCAAATGGCCTCCGGGACACACCTGGGACCCCACAGACTTGGACCATCCTCATCTGTACTGATATACCACAGGGCACCCACCATATGTGGAGGTTATGGTCCCGTACACCTTCACCTGCCAGGCCTGGGCTCTTGGGGAACAGAGGCCATCCCTGGGAGACACAGGTAATACAGAGACTCTTCTGGTAGAGTCTCATAATGAGCTGAGTCTGTGATGCAGAAAGGCTGCTTCAGTGAGGACTGGGGCAGGGGTCAGAAGCCATGTGTGTCAGCCTCGCCCCTCTTGGGAACTTCCTCCACCCTACCCTCAGGAGCACTTGGCTGGTTTTGGTTTTGTCCACTTTACACATCCTACAGTTGGGACAACCAGAGACACAGCCCTGAACGAGGGACCTCAGCCACTCCTTGCTGCGCTTCAGCATGGAGGCACAAGGGAGGGGGAGTCTTCATGATTCGGGGGCACAGCCGTGGCTTCGGAGACTTGGGGACAATCACTGAACTCTGGATCTCAGCTCATTACCACAAGTGGGCGATGTGGATGTCTGCGACAACCACGCAGGCTGTCACAGTCGAGTGGTGGGTCCCCACGCCATTGCCTATGACCTGGGCATCACTCTCCTACCTTCTCAGCTGTGCCTTTAGCCTCACAGGACCAGATCTCCCCAAAAGCAGGGGGGTGAGGGAAAAGACAGAGCACTACAAGGAATCTGCCTTCCTCAGCACTGGAAACCTAGGAATGCATCCCTGTACCCACCCTGACCCTAAGAAGGACCCAGCAATGGCAGCCGAGATGGGAGGGCTTTTATTAGTCTGAGGAAGGGTTGTTGTATTTCATGGAGACAGAGGCAATGGAGAGGGGGTCCGGGGTACAGGTGAGCTGGATCCTACAACAGTAGAGCCTCACTGGTCCAGCTTACTCTATAGCTGTATATCCATGGAGGAGCCCACACGGCTGGAGTCAAAACTCAGCAGGAAGCATTCTGGGCACCCGTCTCACTCCACCCCTGGCTTGGTGGGACCAGTGAGGCAGGGAAGGGGAGGGAGGCTTGCCGGGTGAGCTTCCGAGAGGGTAGATGAGGAAGATCGCAAGGCTGGGGCAAGCTGGGTCAGTGCACATAGGCGACCACCGTGTCATGCCACAACCAGCATGAGGCAAGCTTCAGAGTGGTCCATCTCGCACACAGTGACCCTTTCCTCCCAGTACTGTTGTTGCAGACACCACCATCTGCATAAACATCCTTCCCTGCCTCCACCATCACTCTACTTGGCTCTCTGTCCCCAGTAACAATGTCCCATGTAGCCACACAAGCTAAGTTTCCTGATGAGTGTTCTCAGCATCCAGAGAGGGCGACATCCATGGGTCCTCAGCGTTAACATTGGACAAAGGCAGAAGACAGAGGTGAGGTAGGGCTAGACACTTCTGACCCTGAGATGGAAGGAGAGACAGGAGACGGGAAGGTGCACCTGAAGAAATACGAGGCTGGGGACAGCAGAGGTGACCTGCCAGCAGGAGCCCTCACCTCTGCCCAAGATTCCCCAGACCTATAGGGCCCAGCACCCTCAGCTACACTAGCCTGTCTCCATCTTTTCTCTTTGACATGTGTGGCAACTGGTCTGAGTTTTTTTTTTACAACTTGCCTCCACCTCTCCCCCACTCCTTTCTTTACCACCTCACTTCCTCTCCACCTGAGTCTCCCTCTCAGTCTCCTGATTTGACCTTCCCTTCCACATGTCAACCCAGACCTTAGTGCCTTTCCCAGCGACAGTCTAGAGAGAGAGAGAGAGAGAGAGAGAGAGAGAGAGAGAGAGAGAGAGA